ATAGGCCAGTCCACCATTCTACCAGGGCCTCCAAACCTGGGATTGGCTGGACCCCCCCCCCAAAGTAGATTAGGCCTCCACCCCTCCTTCTTACCAACTGCAGGAAGGTTCTATGGTCCTCCAGAGTCAGGAGGAGGCGATAGAACCACAACCTGTAGAGTAGTCCAGCTGACCTGCAATAACCCAACCTTAATCACATGACCCACAGAACTACCATGAGTCACACAATGATTTTACCTATCATTCATTACACTATTCTAGTAGCACACTAGAGTCCAACACTCTCCCCGAAACTGCCGTGTCCCCGCTGGCTGGAATATACATGTACAAAAATGGCTCCTGGGCCTGGGAGCAAGGGGATACCAAGAAATAAATGGAGGGTTAAAGGGTACAAACTTGGAAGGGAATATGTACAGATAGAAATTAAATACCAAATATATAGATATTCACAAAATATACATTTTGTTCCCGAGATTTAAATAAGGCATGTGTATAATCAATTTTGAGTACAAGTCCCTGCAGCCAGCAAATTATCAACTGGAACACATACTGTACATCTTGCCTGCAGCTCCCTGCGAATAGTAAATATACTTTTAAAGCAATATAGCTATAAAAAAAATACTATAAGGCTACACACACACAAACAAACACACTACATAGCTAAAAGTCTTGGGACACCTGCCTTTACACGTACATGAACTTTAATGGCATCCCAGTCTTAGTCCGTAGGGTTCAATATTGAGTTGGCCCACCCCTTGCAGCTATGACAGCTTCATCTCTTCTGGGAAGGCTGTCCACAAGGTTTAGGAATGTGTCTATGGGAGTATTTGACCATTCTTCCAAAAGCGCATTTGTGAAGTCAGGCACTGATATCAGACAAGAAGGCTTGGCTCGCAGTCTCTGCTCTAATTAATCCCAAAGGTGTTCCGTGGGGTTGAGGTCAGGACTCTGTGCAGGCAAGCTAAGTTCCTTCACCTCAAACTCGCTCATCCATGTCTTTATGGACTTTGCTTTGTACACTGGTGCGCAGTCATGTTGGAACGGGAAGGGGCCGTTCCCAAACTGTTCCCAGAAACTTGGGAGCATGAAATTGTCCAAAATGTCTTGGTATGCTGATGCCTTAAGAGTTCCCTTCACTGGAACTAAGGGGCCAAGCCCAACCCCTGAAAAACAACCTCACACTATAATCCCCCTTCCACCAAACTTTACACTTGGCACAATGCAGTCAGGCAAGTATTGTTCTCCTGGCAACTGCCAAACTCAGACATGTCCTTCAGATTTCCAGACCAAGAAGCATGATTTTTCACTCCAGAGAACATGTCTCCACTGCTCCAGAGTCCAGTGGCGGCATGCTTTACACCACTGCATCCAACGCTTTGCATTGCACTTGGTGATGTAAGGCTTGGATGCAGATGCATGGCAATAGAAACCCAATCCATGAAGCTCTCTACGCACTATTGTGCTAATCTGAAGGCCACATGTTTGAAGGCCCTTAGCTATTGACTCTGTAAACAGTTGGTGACTTCTACGCACTGTGCGCTCCAGCATGCGCTGACCCCACTCTGTCATTTTACCACTTCATGGCTGAGTTGCTGTTGTTCCCAGTTACTTCCACTTTGTTACAATACCACTAACAGTTGACCATGAAATATTTAGTAGCAAGGAAATTTCATGGGTGGATTATTGCGCAAGTGGCAACCTATCACAGTACCACACTTGAATTCACTGTGCTCCTTAGAGCGACTCATTCTTTCACAAATGTTTGTAGAAGCAGTCTGCATGCTTAGGTGCTTTATTTTATACACCTGTGGCCATGGAGGTGATTGGAACACTTGAATCCAATTATTTGGATGGGTGTTCCAATACTTTTGGCAATATAGTAGATATACACACATCCTAACCACAGCTCCCTGCAGCCAGCAGACTTGTTAAGCAGATCACAAATTACCAGAAGAAATAATATATATATTTATTTTTCTTGTGTTGAAGCACCTCCCCCTAAATGGAAGCCCTCCAGCAAGCTGTAGAAAATAAATATTAGTCCTAAAGTCAAAGTCCCAGTTTTATTAGGATAGCTGTCCATGATGAGCCTGTAAAAGAGAAAAAGATACATAACCCTCACATTGGCTAAACTATCTATATGATCTTCTTGCAAGGGGGTTATGGTCCTCCTAACAGAAAAAAACTTTTTTACATGCAAGAATCTCTGAAGGAGGAGTTTTAGTCTCCTTGAATAGTGCTCTGGCCTTACCATCAAGTCATCCCCATAATATTAGTCCGAAGAGGGAAAGGACGGTCGGTGGCATGATTGGGCCCGACAGCTTCAATAAAGAAACAGATTTTTCCCAAACATTTCTCCAAGTCTCTATCTCCAGGGGTCCAAACTCAGCCTCCAGTCAGGGAAACCCCCAATCAATTGTGCCCCGACCTTCACTCCCCACCTGCAGATACCTGAACTTGGCTCCTTCCGAGTGGGGCTGACAGGGTGAACTTCAGCCGCCGGCCTTTCTTGAGAAGCTGAACTGACCACACTTGCCTCTGGTCGCGACTCTTCCTTCTCCAAACTCTGAGCTGTAGCCATCATCCGGCCTCTCCCGCAAGTGGCAGATACCTGACTGACCATAGGATCGCACACCACACACCTCTTGCCTTCCTTCAACCAGCCAGGATTCCTCCTTCCTCTTCACGCACAATCCTGAGCTCAGATCCCCTGAGTGAATGACCGATGGCAAGTCGTTGGGCACCACTCTCATCAGCGGCTCTTTACAGTGCCCACACCTTGCCAGCCAGGCTCTGATCGCTGCACAGGGTTTCCAGCAATCAGGGTATAGCAGGCATTGCCTCACCAGTCCATTGACTATGCTGAGGGTGAATCCTCCCAGGTGTTCCAGACTCACACCAGTATCCACCATCCGATGGTCTGGTATCGATCCTGGTACCATAGCAAAGTTGACTACTGGGTCACAAAGTCTGACCTTCTCATCATGCTGGGTATACTGGGCAGACTTTAAGGCGTGGCCATGCCCCTCACTCAGACTTGTTGGTGCCAGCAGCACTGTTTTGCACGATATTTTGCTTGTATTGACCCTTGTTCAGCCAAGCAGGTGTGTACTGAATGGGTTGCAGACTTGAAAAGCATGGTTTCCTGACGGGAACACAAGAAGAGTCTACTAGTTTCTGCACAGCATGTCTCAGCATGATATTCAATCCCAGTCATAGTTGGATGCCTGGTCATTTGTAATCCACATTGAAACGCTGACCCATTCTGGTTGCTATAGCAATGATGCACATAGTTGAAAAGCAGCACTTAACCACTGTCACTGTTGAGTAGCTAAGGGGTATTTGTCATCCACATTAAGGCGATGGCCGTGTTGGTTGCTATGAGCAACAGCATGCAGGATAATAGCACAGTCCCTTGTTTCCACCACCTGTGGCGCAGCAGAATATGCATAATAATTTCTACGGGTAATGACATGCAGGACAGCAATGCCGGCCTCACTGACATAGACAAATTGTTAGCCCAGTCTTTAATTCCAGCCACCTTTTGGGCAGTGGAAAGACACTTGTACAGGCCCAGCATGGTTGCTATGGGTGACAGCACATTAAACAGCATTTGCATAGCACAATCACAGTCCCAGTAGTGCAGCACAATTTGACTTCCCCGCTCGGTTCCTGTGATTTCTTGTCATAACACTTTTCCATCTCAATGGTTGCTAGGGGCAACAGCCGTGCAGATCGCTAGAATAGATAGAATATCCCGGACGGGAACCCCAAATGTAGTGCTACCCTTGTGAGGGCTGCTGTGTTGTGAGTATCCCTAAGCTTCTTCCCTCCGCACAGCCAGGCAACTAGTACTTTCACACAGACTTGCATCCAGAGGCAATGACCAATCCATGAACTTGATTTTGTTGTTTATTAGGGAAATTCAACTTGAATGTATAGGGATTATGGTAATGCCAAATATTTGACTTGAAACAATGGAAGGGGGGACACTTCCTTCCTATGTACAAAGCAGATCCTAGACTGTCCTTTTCCTGAAAGCAGTCAGTCATTGCCCATCAGTAGCAGCTGCCCCTTATGCGCAAGGAACTAGTAGCCCCTTAAAAAATCACTTTACTTCCTGTAGCCACATGCAGAAATGTCTTCTCTCCCCCTATGGAGCTGCTCCCAGCTCCCTGGCCTGCAGAAACTACCAGCCCTCCTGGCTTCTTGGAAGTTCTCCTGGATCAAAGATAAAAGGATTTAGCTCAAGGCTGTTCTTGGAAAACTTGCTACGTGTGGTCTTTCCCCTTGTAGGTCCCAAAGTGTGCCGCTGTACTCTCACTGTCCTCTTTGCTCCCTGCTGCTCCAGGCCTGATCCCACCCGTGCCTCTCTGCAGAATGTATCTTCCTGAGCCAGCCCAAGCCCAGCTTAGAGGCCAGCCCCCCCTTCCAGACCTAGGGGACCCCTTTCAGACACCGACAGTCTCCTCAGTACTCCATCTTCCACATGACTCCCCTGTCAGCCTGACGTTCCCATATTTATAGGCCAGTTCGTCACTCTACCAGGCCCTCCAAACCTGGGATTGGCCAGACCCCCCCATGAATATGCAGATTATGCCTCCACCCCTCCTTCTTACCGACCACAGGAAGGATCTATGGTCCTCCAGAGTCAGGAGGAGGCGACACCTGTGGCTCTATCACTGACCTGCAATAACCAAACCTTAATCACATGACCCAAACAACTACCATGAGTCAAACAATGCTTTTACCTATCATTCACTACACTATTCTAGTAGCACACTAGAGGGTGCTACATATGTATAGTATATTGTTTAGTCAGGTATCCAGCCAGCACCTTTTCACAGGATAACATCTCAATTGCTCCTTTATTACATAGTAAGTTAAATTGTATATATAGGTAAATAAATTACAACAGTCACTCATTCCTTACCAGACGACTCAGTCCAAAGATTCAATCCAACAAAACATGCCTCAAAGCAGGCATCTTTTGCTTTGATGTTTCTTTGGTAATTCATAGTGCTCTAGGAATCCTTTGCCATGTCATAAATATACACTATATTGCCAAAAGTATTGGGACACCCCTCCAAATAATTGGATTCAGGTGTTCCAATCACCTCCATAGCCACATGTATTAAAATAAAATAAAGTACCAAGGCATGCAGACTGCTTCTACAAACATTTGTGAAAGAATGGGTTACTCTCAGGAGCTCAGTGAATTCAAGCGCACTGTCGTGACAGGTTGCCACCTGTGCAATAAGTCCATCCATGAAATTTCCTTGCTACTAAATATTCCACGGTCAACTGTTAGTGGTATTATAACAAAGTGGAAGTAAGTGGGAACAACAGCAACTCAGCCATGAAGTAGCAGGCCACGTATAATGACAGAGCAGGGTCAGTGCATGCTGAAGCGCACAGTGCGCAGACGTCTGCAGAGTCAATAGCTAAAGACCTCCAAATTTCATGTGGCTTTCAGATTAGCACAACAACAGTGCGTAGAGAGCTTCACGGACTAGTTTTCCATGGCTGAGCAGCTGCATTGAAGCCTTACATCACCAATGTAATGTGTTGGATGCAGTTGTGTAAAGCACGTCGCCACTGGACTCTAGAGTAGTGGAGATGTGTTATCTGGAGTTACAAATATGCTTCTGTCTGACAATCTGATGGAGGTGTCTGGGTTTGGCGGTTGCCAGGAGAACAGTACTTCCCTGTCTGCATTGTGTCAAGTGTAAAGTTTCGTGGAGGGAGGATTATGGTGTGGGGTTGTTTTTCAGGGGTTGACCTAGGACCCTTAGTTCCAGTGAAAAGAACTCTTGAGGCATCAGCACACAAGACATTTTGGACAATTTCATGATCCCAACTTTGTGGGAACAGTTTGGGGAACCCCCTTCCTGTTCCAACATGACTGCGCACCAGTGCACAAAGCAAGGACCATAAAGACATGGATGAGTGAGTTTGGGGTGCAGGAACTTGACTGACCTGCACAGAGTCCTGACCTCAACCCGATAGAACACCTTTGGGATGAATTAGAGCGAAGACTGCAAGCCAGGCCTTCTCGTCTGATATCAGTGCCTCACCACACAAATGTGCTCCTGGAAGAATGTTCAAACATTCCCTTAGACACACTCTTAAACCTTGTAGACAGCCTTCCCAGAAGAGTTGAAGCTGCTCTAGCTGCAAGGGGTGGGCCAACTTAATATTGAACCCTACGGACTAAGACTAGTACGCCATTAAAGTTCATGTGCATGTAAAGGCAGGTGTCCCAATACTTTTGGCAATATAGTATACATTTGTATAACAAAGGTTGTATTCATACGACACAGTAAAACAGATATAAAAATCTGTTTAAAAATATACATGCTTAATAAATTAAAATAGAAACTGACTCAAAAAACCTTGAAGGTTTCCTTCTTTTATAATTCTTTATTAATAGTCACATACCCAACCCATGCTTGCAGACTCGATCACTTAATGTGGAGTGTCAAAAAGGTATGCAGCATTCTACGTGTCTGTCTGACTATGGCGTATTCCCTTTACTTGTCAGGATCCAATGACAGAAGGGCTTGTAATTCTGTATAGAGTGTCTCTGTGGTTACAGACTGACAGCTGCAGGGAAGAGGAGGAGGCATTGAGCAGCCCAGACTGAGAAGCAATAGTTGGCAGTAGAAAAGCCTCATAGTACAGACACTCAAGGCGTGTTGGGTCCTGTTGTAGTGGTGCCTCTTGGAACACTTACTCTACACCTCCTCAGGAGATAATGGTGTTAAATAACTTTTTTATAATTATAATAAATGGCTCAGTAATTTTTAAGTAGTAACTCATCAAACATTATTATAGATATTTGTGAGTATTTGATAAACCAAAGTGCAATATACATATCAGAGTCTGTCTGCTTCTTCTCTCCTAGTAATGGTCCCAATCCTTCCTGTGGATCAGTGAAGGCAATAGTCTGGTCAGGCTGTTTTAACTCACTGTGTTATTAATTGTATGTAATACTCCCTCCTTCCTTATTACATACCATAGTTGCTAGTGTCACCATCTTCCTCTACACTTCTTGTATGCCCATATAAACTGTTTTGGATCTGTCAAAGTTTATTGTTAATAGAACGTAAAGGAGAAGTATAGTCAAAGCTACAGTATTTTGGCTAGACTTCTCCTATTGATTACAGGAGTGCCGTTAGTTCTACACTCCTGTGATCAGTTTTTAAGCCGACAGCGGGCTTCAGAGCCAAAGAGCTGTTCCATGCTGACCATATGGTCAGGTTTCACACAGAAGCCTGAACCGGCACCTGGCTCAGCCTCTCAGGGATCCGCTGAGAGTCTGAGTCAGCTGATCCCTCCACCATTACAGCCCAGCGCTCCAGTGACTGACAGCCCTTGGCTTTCTGCTCACTGATTGCTGAGAACTGAGCGATCAGCAGTTTTTGATTGCTCAGTTCTCGGTGCTGAGCCTTTGGGGGACAGATGCAGCATCAGATCGATACTGCATCCACCTAGGTGAGTACGAAGTTTGGTTTGGTTTTTTTTTTTACTAATAAATAAATGTTCAAGAACAGAAAACAAAAATTCAGCTTTCACTGCAATACTCACCCTCTCCTTGGTGCTGTCCTCCACAGGCAATTCCCTTCATTGTTCAGTGCTGATCCTCTTTCAGGCTGAATACTTGAGCTTGCAGTGCTGCTGTACAAAATAGTGCTCCCATATAACTCCATGAGTTCTCTTACAAACAGCTGTAAGAACTGTCCATCTCCACTGTCATGAGTTCCAGAACTCTCAAAAATGCAATTTGTAGGAAAATGCAAACACTTGCTGAACACAAACCTTTAGCCTGACAGCACACTGGCCCTCTTTTAGTTTGAATCATTTGCAGGATTTTACAAGGCGCTGATATGAAGGCAGATTCAGGCACATTTTTAGCTACATTTAAAAATTGATTAATTTTTCTTTAGGAATACACAATGGGAAACCATTAAATTGATTGGTTTAGTTAATCTTTTAGGATGCTGCCAGCTTTAAAGCTGAAAGCCTTCTAGCAACCAGTGAAGGTGCAATGGGAAAAGCCTGATGGAAAAGCTGAGACACCAATTCCCCATCATGTCCGCTCTCTCTTTGTAAACAAAAGCAAGCAATGGGTGGATTCTATAGCCAATAGAAGGCTTTCTGTAATCTAAGTCACTAGTCTCTAGTCTTCCCACTGTCAACTGTAACTCACAATGGGTGAGGATCTGATGGGGATCCAGTGTGAATCCCTATCAGGCTCTGCCACCAATGTCCCCTTCCCTATGCAAAAAAGTATTGAGGTTGGGGTGTCTGGGTGTCTGTATGGATGCTCTGGCCTTAGTACACCCCCACACGCGGTGCGTGCACCATATACACCTTATGAATTCCCCTGAATGTTTCTTTAATCTCAACCTGAAGTTTCCAAATGTGAAAATATGTATATTCCCTAGCTTGTTGTTCATAACCTTTACATTGCCAGATAACTGCATTACTTGCTTTAAAATCCAGCATATTTATGTTCGTATGTCTGATTTTGCCTTCTCAAATTTTCTAACTCCTTCAATGTAAAAAGAAGAGTCTGACCAGCTGTTATGCTAATCATTGCAACATTCCAGCTTGTCACCCCACAGCATCGCACACGTTTCATGTAAAACACTCTGTCAAGTCAAACAACACCTCGAGAAAACCCTTATCAGCAGCCACGTATTCTGTCATGAGGAAGGTCTAACCTATAGCTGCTAATTGCCAAGGAAGCAAATCCTGGCACATCGCTGAATACGACTCTTCTGTTTTAAGAATGACTTTAAGAAAGACTTTGGCAACAAGTACTTCAAAATACCTCAGTCAGAGTAGGTTTCTTTTTGTATACTGAGAATGAAGAATATAACGAAGTATAGGTACAGTATAGTGTATATACAGGCCTCATGCGCATGGCCATATTGTTTTTATATAGGATCTTGCTGGCAGCAAGATTGTTTTTCCTCCAGCAGAGAAATTTATTATGTCTGTCTTGTCTGCAGTATTAAATTTGGCCACAAGATGGAAACCGGAAAAAATTCACTGTTTTGCAGAAACTAGAGACTGTTTAGCCTTAAAATTATTCTAAAGGCCTACATTTAAAAAAAAAACAAACAATTACGTCTATATTTACCTTCTGTGTGCAGTGGTTATGCACAGAGCAGTCCAGATCCTCCTCTTCTTGGGTCCCCCACCAGCGCTGCTGGTCCCTCTCTGCTGTCGGGTGCCCCCACAGCAAATAGTTTGCTATGAGAGCACCCAAGCAATGGCACTTCCCTAGCTGCTGCTTCATGTGTTCATTCACATGGAGCAATTGCTCGGCCCTGCCTCCTCTTTCTTTTCATTGGCTCAATGGCTGAGATTGACAGCAGCGGGAGTCAATGGCTCCAGCTGCTGTCTCAGCTAATGAGGAGAGGGAGTCTGTCAGGGACCCTGTCGCCATGCAGCCGTGCGACGGCGACAGATCCCTTCGGGTCACGGCGGTGTGAGTGCGCAGGCGCGGGAGCATGCGGGCACGCATGCACAGAAGCGCGGAAGTGAGCGCATGCGCAGTAGAGTCCGCGTCACTGCTAGGCAGGCTATTTAAACCTGCAATACAGTACAATGAATGCCTTCTGGTCTACAACGTCCCTGCACTATTACCTGATCCTGTTGCTTGTATTCTGATCTGACCCTGACTAAGAAAGAACTCCGCCTGCGCCGACCTTGGCTATCCCTGACTATCCGCTTGCCTGCTCCCTTGTACTTGATCTGCCCGCTTAATACTAACCCGGCTTGTCTGACTCTGCTGCATCTACTTACCTGCACCTTCACCTGGCTTGCATCCTGACGGCTGCCATACTTATCTGCTGCTGCACACATGGTCCTGCACCTGGCTTGCATCCTGACGTATGCCATACTTACCTGCCTGCTGCACCCACGGTCCTGCATCTGGCTTGCATCCTGACGTGTGCCATACTTACCTGCCGCTGCACCCACGGATCTGCACCTGGCCTGCATCCTGGTCACTGCCATACCTGCCTGCTACCGCATCCATGCTCCGGTGTCCAGTCCCAGTCTGCAACCTGATTACAACCATACCTGCCTGCTGCTGCACCTAGGGCTCCGAGCAAGAGTCGTAAGAGGACGCCTTCTCTCCACGTCAGGCTCCCCAACCAGGTACATGACAGAGTCCCAGGATATCCAAAACTCCAATACACATTCCTGGAGGCTTAGCAATGGGGGGGGGGGGGGGGGGGGATGCTGCACAGAGAAGGTTTTTTACCCTCATGCATAGAGTGCATGAAGGTAAAAAACCTTGAGCCTTTACAACCACTTTAATAAAAGACTCCTTCATTCAAAGAAAAGGAAACATCTTACATTCTGGAAGCTCAGACTCCTTCTTAAGAACTCAGGGAAAGAAACCAGCTATAATTCTCTGGAACAC